TATCATAGCACAGCATAGCATACCATAACATAGCGCAGCATAGCATGTCATAGCATAACATAGCATAGCATAGCAACTAATGCTGCTTTCCTAGGGGCTCCAACTTCTAGGTAGGGTCGCACTGGGGTAATTGTCGGGTGTTTTGTAAGCCTCGAAGGGCACTCGGAACCGCTTCGGGACTGTCTTGAGGCCTTTTGGGGGTATGTCGGAGGCAACCTTGAGCCATCTTCGGCTATCTTGAGCTATCCTGGAAACGATATTGGGCTCTCTGAGGCCCTCTTGAGCTATCTTGGGCCATCTTGGACGCTCTAACCCCTCCGTCTCCCTCCGTCCCAGGTCCAGGGGCGGGCGTGGGGGCAGTGGTCAAGTTAGCCAGCTTGAACGAGCCAGAGGGCTCCGTCCACTCCCACCCGCCCTCCCGCAACATAAGAAGCAAGTGCGTCGCGTCCGACGCCTGTCGCTCATCTTATATCGTGGGTGGCTAGACGTTCAGCGCGCGACATGAGTTGCGTCCTATTCTTGCCGCGAATTGAGCAACGTCGACGAGAAACAAGGCCGCGCGCGATGTACGCCGAGCCCCGCTCCCGCCTCTCATGTTGCATCGTCGGCGACAACATGTCCAGCGCGCGAAGTGCGCCGCGTCTCATTCCAGCCGCGCGTGTTGCACCGCCAATCGTTTCGCTCCTGCCGCGCATGGAGGAGGGGAAGGAGGAGGAGGAGAAGGAGGGGAGGGAGATAGGGAGGGAGGGGGAAACTGAGGAGGAATAGGAGAGTGCCTCTTGGGAATTCGCGGGGCGCCCCATTCCCGCTACGCGATTCGCAGCGCCGACGAGGGGAAAGTACATGTTTGCAAGAAAAACGTCGACGTTGTTGTGTTTTTCTACAGGTAGGACGGTGGTCCCGCGTACGGTTGGTCAGGCGTCCGCGCGCGATGTGCGCCGCGTCCTGCTACACTTCTCGCAGCGTCGACGACAAGAAAGTCAATGTTCACGAGAGAAGCGTTGACTTTGTATGGTTTTTTTTTTTTTGATGGGTAGGACGCGACCCCCCGTTTAGGGTTACACAAGCGATGTTCATTCCGTCCCATTCTTGCTTCACTTTTCGCGGCTCGACGACACGCTGGCGAGACACAAGTTCATTTTGTGTTGTTTTTTGAAAGTTCGGACGGCGGCTTTGCCATAGGCCGGCTAGGTGGGAATGTGGGGGTGTTTAATCATAGGAAGTAAGGATTCAGGGGTTAGGGGTTAGGGTTAGGGTCAGGTTAGCCAGCTCGAACGAGCCAGAGGGCTCCGTCCATTCCCACCCGCCCCCCCACAACATAAGAACCAAGTGCGTCGCGTCCACGCATGTCGCTCATCTTATGTCGTGGCTGGGTAAACGTTCGGCGCGCGACATGAGCTGCGTCCTATTCTTGCCGCGAATTGAGCAAAGTCGACGAGAAACAAAACCGCGCGCGACGTACGCTGCGCCCCGCTCCGGCCTCTCATGTTGCATCGTCGGCGACAACATGTCCATCGCGCGAAGTGCGCCGCGTCTCATTCCAGCCACGCGCGTTGCACCGCCAATCGTTTCGCTCCTGTCGCGCATGGAGGAGGGGGAGGAGGAGGAGGGGAGGGAGAGAGGGAGGGAGGGAGAAACTGAGGAGGAAGAGGGGAATGCCTTCTTGGGAATTGTAGGGCGTCCCATTCCCGCTACGCGATTCGCAGCGCCGACGAGGAGAAAGTACATGTTGGCAAGAAAAACGTCAACGTAGCTGTGTTTTTCGACAGGACGGGGGGTCCCGCGTACGGTTGGTCAGGCGTCCGCGCGCGATGTGCGCCGCGTCCCATTCGTGCTGCAGTTTTCGCAGCGTCGACGACAAGAACGTCAATGTTAACGAGAGAAGCGTTGACTTTGTATGGTTTTTTGGTTGGGTAGGACGCGACCCCCCGTTTAGGGTTACCCAAGCGATGTTCATTCCGTCCCATTCTTGCTTCACTGTTCGCAGCGTCGACGACAAGAAATTCCATGACTTTTCCAACATTGTCGAGAAAAGCGTTGATTTTGTATTTCTGTTTGATAAATAGGACGCGACCACCCGCTTGGGGTTACCCACGCGATGGTCATACCGTCCCATTCTTGTGCATTTATCGCGACTCGACAACATGTTGGCGAGAAAACATTTGAGTTGTATTGTTTTTTACAGTTCGGACGGCGGGGTTGCCATCGGCCGGCTAAGTGTGGGTTTGGGGGTGTTGGATCATAAGAAGTAAGGATCAACCCTTCCCCCGAGCAGCGGAAGGATGGTTTTGGCAGTAAGAAGGCACATCTCCTTTAACCACCCACGCCCAAAGGGTTGATGGGATTATATCCAAGCAGCCCTGGGGCCTCCAGGCCTTCACCCCCAGCACGGTATAATTGAAACCCGCGAGACATGGGGAAATCATAGAAGGGACGAGTAGCTGAAGACATCCCCAGCGATCACATTACAATTTATGCCAATGGTGGTGTAGTACCAGGCCTGAATTGCAATCCACATTCGCCCTGCGTCGCCGACGTGAAGAGCTCTACCAATGCGTACAGCAGCCACGTCGTTCCCCAAACGCCGCGAGAAGGCGCAGGGCCTGGGCTCGTTGAAGCCTCATCCGAAAACAAGACTGCTACGGACAAGCCTCTGGCCGATTGGCACGGTGTTGCCCCGAGGCCCGCGTCAGAGCGTCGGCGGCGTCCAGAGGCCACCGTGGACATCGAGAGGCCTCCCGGATGGAGTCCGAGTATAAATCGCGCCGAATCGCCGATGCATCGACAATGCATCGACAACGCATCGACGATGCATCGGCGACGCCGGCGTGGAGAAAATCGGGATCCACATCGCGCCGCATCGCCGATACATTGGCGATGCGAGGCGATCCTCCGACCCTATCTACTCGGGCCCCATCTGGGAGCCCGACAACCTCAGGCTCTCGTGTCCAGCGCCGACTCCTCGAAGTGGAGCGGCGCAGTCAGGCGGTGCCTTCCCTTCCCCTGCACTCCTGGATCCTCTTGAGCTTCTCGCGGTCGGCTGGCTCTGAGGGGCCCACACCTTCAAGCCCTGCTTCGTTGGCGATCTGCCAGCGCGGGGTCGCCCCAGTCGAAAGCAGGCTGCCCCCTTCCCCCCCCAATCAGCACCAGCACGACCAGCAGGCTGTGCACCACCCTCCGTTTGAGCTCCTGCCGCTGCTGCCGCTTGTTGCCGAGACTCCTCCAGCCGCTTGGCCTGCTCGGCAGGCTTGGTCTCGAGGGCGATGCGTTCCTTGTCGAGGGCCGTGCTGAAGGACGAGAGCGGCGCCGCCAGCTCGACCAGGTGCTCGGAGCCCTTAAGCTTCCCCAGAACTTCCGATATGAACCCGAGAAGCTCACTTGTTGTGACGTCATCGTTCTTGCCCTCGCACACCTTCCCAAGGGCGGGTACTGCGCTGGCGAGCTCCTTCTTCTTGATGACCACGCTGATCTCCGCCAGCGCTTTGCGATGCTGCTTCTGGTGCTCCAGCTCTTGGTCCAGCTCCGCTTGCTTGGCCGCCAACGCCTCTCGCGCTGGCTGCACTCGCTCCGAAGTCTTATCGAGCTGCTTCTCCTTCTCGGTCCTGCGCAAGTGTAGGTCTTGCAAGGACTTCTTATCCAAACCAACCTTCGCCACCCCCATCTCCTCATCGACCTGCACTGGGACAAGCGTTGCCGAAACCGCTTGAGCCTGACCTGCCGACAAGCCGTGCTTCGCTGGGTTGGCGAGCAGCTCCTGCTAAAGCTCCCGCCTGGCCTGAAGAAGGGCTTCCTCCTTATGCGATGCTGCCTCGCTGGTGGCCGAGGGGGGGCCCTTGCCCCACCTGCCTCCTGGCTTCGGCGGCTCCGCCGTGGACGGCTCCCGAGTCCCATGAGCTGCAATCGCATCGGCGACCCATGGCGGCGCTTTCTTCCCACACTGCTGGCACTGCGTGCGCCAGCCACGGTTCTTGTGCCCCCCGCACCTGCCATTGCACTTCCACTGGCGAAGCGGCGGAGGCGCGGCATCGCGGCGGTTCGGGGGTGCCATGCAATCCTGGCTCGTGACAGCGCCACATCCAAGAGCGCTGCCACAAAGGTTCGAAACCTGGACATGGTTGGAGGAGGAGGAGGAGGGAGGGAGGGAGGGAGGAGGGATGGGAGAGGGAGGGAGGGAGGGAGGAATGAGGAAGAGGAGGAGTAGGAGGAGGAGGGGGAGGAAGAGGAGGAGCAGGAGGAGGAGGAGGAGGAGGAGGAGAAGGAAGAGGAGGAGGAGGAGGGAGAAGAGAACTTATACGAGTAATATTAACATTAGTCATATGAATAATAAGATGATTGTTCATGCATAAGGAAAACATAAAATAAGACATATACGACAATACATACTACTACTACTACTACTACTACTACTAATAATGATAATACTACTAATAATACTATTAATATTAATAATAATAATACAACAATAATAATATTAATGCTAATGATACTAATGCTACTAATACTAATACTAAAAATACTACTACTACTAATACTTTTAATGCTAATAATAATCATAATGATAATAATAGTAATGCTAATGAGAATACTAATAATACAATTTATAATAGTAATAGTATTAATAATACTAATACTCATATCAATACTACTAATATTAATACTATTAATAATAATAAGGATGATGATAATAATAGTAATAATAACAATAATAATACTACTAATAATAATACTAGTAATAATAATAATAATACTAATAGTAGTAATAATACTACTAATAATAATATTAATAACAATAATAATAGTAGTAATAATACTAATGGCAATACTATTAATAACAATACTAACAATAATAGTAATGCCACTAATAATATTAATAACAATAATAACACTAATAATAACAAAAACAATAAGCAGACAAAAAAAGAAGAGGAGGAGGAGGCGGCGGAGGAGAAGGGAGGAGGGAGGGGGGGGGAGGGCAGGGAGTGAGCGTACCGCCCCCACAGGCAGCTGGCCGCCGCGGCGGGCCACAAGGCCCTGGCAGAGGCGGGGGGCCGCAGCGGCCGCCCTCCAAGGGCTGCTTTGCCGCCACTGCGCGGCCGGGGCTCTCTGTCATCGGAGGAGGGGGGGTGGGAGGGGGAGGAGGGAGGGCGAGGAGGAGGAGGAAGAGGAGGGGGAGACTACCTCACGGGCCAGGACTTCGTCCCCTGCTGACGTCCCTGGCCTCTTCCAGAGTGTAGGGCCTTGGCTAAATTGTGGCAGCCTTGCTCTTTATTGTCGTCGTCGTTCTCGCCCTCCCTCCTCCTCCGCGAGCTTTCACGCTCATGAGTTGCACAGGGATCCAAAGTGTATCCAGGGCTCCGGCCCAACCGCCGTGGTTTTGCATGGCCGTCTTTCTTGACGCATGACAGCGTTAGTGTCTCGCCCTGTGCGCTGGTGCGTTTGCACCTGTCTTGCGGCATTTTTGTTGGGCCCTCCGCCAGGCTCTTTTTTGGTCTGGAGAACGTCCTGAATATTTACGCCTCCCAGATGAGGCCGGAGTAGATGGTGTCGGAGGATCGTGCCGCATCGGCGATGCGGCTCGATGTGCAGTCCGATTTTATCCACGCCAGCTGCGCCGAAGAATCCGATACATCGCCGATGCATCGCCGATGCATCGGCGATGCGGCGCGATTCTCCGACCCTTTCTACTCGGACCCCATTTAGGAGGCCTCAATCAGGGTCACCCAGACACACTGACGCGTGCGTCGCCCCTCCTGGGGTGACGTGTGCGCCTAGGAGCTCTTATAGCACAAGAGCCGTGGCGAGCGTTTTCTAGCCATACCGTTCTGGAAGCGATTCACGAAGTACAAGACGTTTGTACCATATGCTGGGTTCGGACGGGCGCTTGCAAGGAGGGCGCATAGTGCTACCACCCCCAACCAAATCTGCATCACTAAAACCGCGTCCAAGGCGCTGCGTCTCAGCACTGCAGGGCCGCGATCTCCCCGATGGGGGCCAGCCGCGCCACATTCAAAAGTTTGCCGTTGCTCCCCGATTGGGCCAGCCGCGCCAGGTTCAAGCTTGTCGCGGCCTCGGCGCCTGTGAGGTTCGGGGCGTTGCAGTGCGTCCGCGCGACGGCGCGCCCTCACGATGGCGCGCCCTCCACGACGGCGACGAGGGCGGCGACGGGCGCGTGTCCCTCTGCAGAGTGCCTCGGCTGGCCGTGGGCGCGCTGGTCCTCCCTGGCTGGTGCCCCGTGCGCTGGTGCGCGGTAGCCGGTAGCCACTGGGTGCCCTGGCGGTCGCTGGTCGGCCCTGGGCGTGCCCCGGTGCCCCGTGGCCGCTCGCGCGCGCCTCGTGGTGTGTGGTGTTTCGGCGTCGCCGAGGGGGAGGAGGAGGAGGAGGAGGAGGAGGAGGAGGGCGAGGAGGAGGAGGCGGAGGACGACGACGAAGACGACGACGACGACGATGATGATGAGGAGGAGGAGGGGGAGGAGGAGGAGGAGTAGGAGGAGGAGGACGAGGAGGAGGCGGAGGAGGAGGCGGAGGAGGAGGCGGAGGAGGAGGGGGAGGACGTCGACGAGGAGGAGGAGGAGGAGGAGGAGGACGACGACTATGACGACGAGGACGACGGCGAGGACGACGACGAGGAGGAGGAGGAGGAGGAGGAGGAGGAGAGGGTGGAGGACGACGACGACGATGACGAGGACGACGACGAGGACGTGCCCTGGCGGCCGCGGTCGGTCGGCCGCCTGCCGCGCGCCTGTTGGTGCCCAGTGGCTGTGGTGGTCTTTTGGTGCCCCTGCGGCTGGTGCCCTGGCTGGTGCCCAGCACTGCCTTGGAACTTCAATCGTCCTCGTCCTCGTCGTCGTCGTCGTCCTCCTCCTCCTCCGCCTCATCTCCAGCTTCCTCTTTCTAATCCTCCTCCTCCTCGGGGGTGGAGAGGGCCCAGCACCCAGAGATCCGAAGCTGAGCGCCCGGTTTTTGGTCGTTTCCGACTTCTGGGGGCCCTCAGTGGGCCCCAGGACCGTCAAACAACTATGCGGGACGACACATCTGGCCCATGAAAGTGGTCTACACCTCGGGGGGTGTGGCTGGTGTTCTGTGGTTGGTGCCCCACACTGCCCTGGAAAAGTCATGCAACTTTTATCGTCGCTTTGTTTGTTTTCGTCGCCTTCGGGATTTCGCCCGTTTTTGGTCTCGGGGGGCCCCTTTCGGGCCCTGGGACCATCATAAATGCACTCGTGATAAAACTTTATGCCCAGGGAAATATCCCGGACGAGTTTTCGACACGACTCGCGAAAGATGCATTCTTTTTCCTCTGCGCCAGGCAAAATCGTCCTCGGCAGACGGGTGCAACGATCGCTGTTCCGAAGGCGGTTCGCTTTTTTTTCGCCTGGCAGCAGGAGGGAGGAGAGTGTCCACTGTGACGCGGTCGCCAGGGTTTCCCATGCACTCAAAATCCGCTCTATGTATAATATATCAGGGGACCGGGGCCCGGGCCCCCGGGGCTGCGACTTCTATCGCAAGTGTGTGTGTGTGTGTGTGTGTGTGTGTGTGTTCAGGAGCGAAAGAAGGACGTACATGTACATGAATCCACGCTGGTTTCGAGAGCACGCATTGCGCACATGTGCGTATAACGCGGCCAGTCTCACGGATCGAGGGGCCGTGTTCATGTATATAGCTGGGCGTGTACGTCCTTTGTGGGCTCCCTATGTGTGTGTGTGTGTGTGTGTGTGTGTGTGTGTGCTGGCCCTTGGGGGGCCCCAGAGGCCCACAAAAAGCGCCACCAGAAGGCGCCACGAGAGCCCGAAGAGGCGCCAAGATGGACCCGCGACGCCCACAGGCCGCTCCAAGACGCACAGGCCGCTCCGAGACGCGCAAGATGGCCCCCAGGAGGCCTTCCAGACGCCTCCTTGGACGCTCCCAGAGGCCCCCCAGGAGGGCCCCAAGAGGCAAAATTCGCCCCATTCCCTTAGGGAAACGTATATTTTTCGGATGTATGCCTCTTTGGCTTTCACAGCTTCCAAGACGGCCCAGGAGGCCCCCATGATTACCCCACAGGCTCCTAAGGGGGCTCCAAGACGACCCCAAGAGGGTCCCAAGACGGCCCGAGGGGCCCCCAAGACAGCCCAAGAGAGCCCCAGGACGAGCCCCACAGGGGTCCCAGAGGTGCAAAACCATATTCAAATTCCGAGCTTTTGGCCCCAGAGGCTCCCAGGAGGCCCCAAGAGGTCCCCAGGAGGCCCCAAGAGGCCCCCAAGAGGCCCCGAGAGGCCCCCAAGAGACTCCCAGGAGGCTCCCAAGAGGCCTCCAGGAGGCCCCCAGGAGGATCCCCAGAGGCTCCCAAACTGCTTCGAAGACGCCCTTGAGAGGCCTCTAAGTCTCTCTCTCTCTCTCTCTCTCTCTCTCTCTCTCTCTTTTTTCCTAACAGCGAAGACTGATAGGTTTCTAATGGGGTCAAAAGAGAGCATCTGATGACTCCCCAGGGGGGTCTGGGCGGGAGCCGGACAGGCGAGGGCCGGGCTCGTTTTAAGCAAACGGTCACACATTTCGTGCTCTTCGACCTCCCAGAACTCCATTCCCGGGCCACATTCTGAATGCCCCGAGCCAACTGTAGGCCACTTCGTGGTCTTCGAGTTCCCAGAACTCCACTCCCGGGCCACATTTTGAATGCCCGGAGCCAACTGTATGCCACTTCGTGCTCTTCGAGTTCCCAGAATTCCATTCCTGGGCATGATTTTGAATGCCCGGAGCCAACTGTAGGCCACTTCGTGGTCGTCGAGTTCCCAGAACTCCATTCCTGGGCATGATTTTGAATGCCTGGAGCCAACTGTAGGCCACTTCGTGTTCTTCGAGTTTCCAGAATTCCATTCCCGGGCCACATTTTGAATGCTGAGGGAGGCTGATGCTGAGGCTGAGGCAGGCTGAGGCTGAGGCAGGCTGAGGCTGAGGCCGAGGCTGAAGGCAGACTGAGGCTGAGGCTGATGCAGGCTGAGGCTGAGGCTGAGGCAGGCTGAGGCTGAGGAGGCTGAGGCTGAGGCTGAGGCTGAGCAGGCTGAGGCTGAAGGCAGGCTGAGGCTGAGGCTGAGGCTGAGGCTGAGGCAGGCTGAGGCTGAGGCTGGCTGCAGGCTGAGGCTGGCAGGCTGAGGCTGGCTGAGGCAGGCTGAGGCTGAGGCTGAGGCTGATGCAGGCTGAGGCTGAGGCAGGCTGAGGCTGAGGCCGAGGCTGAAGGCAGACTGAGGCTGAGGCTGAAGCAGGCTGAGGCTGAGGCAGGCTGAGGCTGAGGCTGAGGCAGGCTGAGGCTGAGGCAGGCTGAGGCTGAGGCTGAGGCTGATGCAGGCTGAGGCTGAGGCAGGCTGAGGCTGAGGCCGAGGCTGAAGGCAGACTGAGGCTGAGGCTGAAGCAGGACTGAGGCTGAGGCTGAGGCAGGCTGAGGCTGAGGCTGAGGCAGGCTGATGCTGAGGCAGGCTGAGGCTGAGGCTGAGGCTGATGCAGGCTGAGGCTGAGGCAGGCTGAGGCTGAGGCCGAGGCCGAAGGCAGACTGAGGCTGAGGCTGAGGCTGAGGCTGAGGCTGAGGCAGGCTGAGGCTGAGGCTGAGGCAGGCTGATGCTGAGGCAGGCTGAGGCTGAGGCTGAGGCTGATGCAGGCTGAGGCTGAGGCAGGCTGAGGCTGAGGCCGAGGCTGAAGGCAGACTGAGGCTGAGGCTGAAGCAGGCTGAGGCTGAGGCTGAGGCAGGCTGAGGCTGAGGCTGAGGCAGGCTGATGCTGAGGCAGGCTGAGGCTGAGGCTGAGGCTGATGCAGGCTGAGGCTGAGGCAGGCTGAGGCTGAGGCCGAGGCTGAAGGCAGACTGAGGCTGAGGCTGAAGCAGGCTGAGGCTGAGGCTGAGGCAGGCTGAGGCTGAGGCTGAGGCTGAGGCTGAGGCTGAGGCAGGCTGAGGCTGTGCTGCGACTGCCGGCCACTGCGACTGTCATCGCGAATGCGACTACGACTGCGAGAACAGCAGAATTCTACAACTGGATTCTCATCTGAATCTTAAGGGGAAGGCTTCCAGATATGCTCCTACACATCGCTGTTAGTTTTTTTTTTTTTTTTTTTTTTTTTTTTTGTTTGTGTGTTTTTTGTTTGTTTTCTTCTTCTTCTTCTTCTTGTTCTTCTTCTTCTTCTTCTTCTTCTTCTTCTTCTTCTTCTTCTTCTTCTTCTTCTTCTTCTTCTTCTTCTTCTTCTTCTTCTTCTTCTTCTTCTTCTTCTTCTTCTTCTCTCTCTCTATATATATACATTCATATGGGAGTAGGCCGGATTCGGGGCGGGCCGCTGCCTGTACCCCCCATGGGCGCTCCCGGGGCTCTCTGGGGGGGTCCCAGAGCTCCCGAGACGGCCCAGGCCCGCTCCGAAACAGGCCGCGACAGGCCAGGTGGTTCCAAGAGGGCCCAAGACGGTCCCAAGACGGTCCCGAGAGGCCCCGAAGACGCCCGAGAAGATGCCTTCAAGACGGCCGACGAGGACGCCAACGCGCTCCAGGGAGGCTTCCCAAGAAGGCCCTGGGAGGCAAAATGTATGTGCCTGTTTTTCTTTGGATTCGGGCAAGTTTACTTGCATGGACGGGGGGGGGGCTGAGTCTGAAGCAAGCCGAAAACAATTCGACGTGCGGGAATCACGCAAGTCGAAAGGCACTTGCACGCTCGTGTCCGATTGAAGAGGGGCGAGAGGGGAGAGGGGGGGGGGCGAACGCCATGCAAGTAAGCTTGCCTGGATCTAAAGAAAAAACAGGCTCTATTCATTCTTCTACGGCCTTTGCAGGGGCTGGGGCCCGGTTAGGCGCAGCTGGGGCCGCGGGACCCGGCGCCGCCCGGGCCGGGGCCGTGGCCGGGAGCGAGGCTGGATCTGCTATACCGGGGCCGGGACCGGGGCCGCAGCCGGATTGGTGCCAGGGCCGGGGCCAGGGCATGCTGGGAACAGGGCCAGGATACCCAGACCCCCTCGAGTTACGAAAAAATCACGACGGGAGGTTTTTCATTATTTTGGGCCTCTGGGGGCCCTTACCGGCCCTCGGGACCGTCAAAAAACGACTCAGGACAAAGAACCGGTCCCGGGAAAGGGTCCAGACCGCTGGGGTCGCCGTCCTGAAAAAATCATGACGTCGAGGGTCTGGGTATAGGGAGCGGGGTCGAGTCGGGAGTGGAAGCTGGGAGCCGGGACCGGGGCGCCGTCGTCGGCTGGAGCCGGGGCCGGGACTGGCGCCGGGGCCGGGTCCGGATTGCTGCACCAGAGGCCCTGGGACAGGGAGCGGGAGCGCGGCCAGGGCTGCATTTGGGGCCAGGGCCAGGACCGGGACCAGGGGCCAGGACCACGGGTTAGGGACATGGGGCCTTGGCCAGGGCTGGACCTGGAGTTGTGGCCGAGAGCGGGGTCGGATCCGTGGCCAGGGCCGGGATCGGAGCCGGAGCCAGACTGGTGCCGGGGCCACGGCCGGGAGCGGGGGCCGAAAGCCAAGAGCGTGGTCGTGCCAGGAGCAGGGGCCGGGAGCCGGGACCGGGAGCGGGGTCGGGCCGGGAACGGGGCCGGGAGCCGGGGCCGGCGCCCGGTCGGGCGGAGCCAGGGTCGGGACCGGAGGTCGGGACAGCCCTGGTCGGGGCCGGGGCCAGATCCGTGGCTGGCGGCCAGGGCCAGGACCAGGCCAGAGCCGGTCCGGTGCCAGGGCCAGGGCCGGGATTGGCGAGCCGGGAGCGGAAGCTGGGAGCCGGGACCAGGGCCCGGTCGGCCGAAGCCGGGGCCTGGGCCGCCGGGGCCGGAGCCGGGGGCCGGAACCGTTGCCGAGGCCTAGGGGCCGCGAGCACTGGCCTGGCAGGGGCCGGGGCCCAGGCCGGGAGCGAGGCAGGATCCGCGGCCTGGACCAGGGCTGGGGCCGCAGCCGGAGCGGTGCCGGGTCGGGATTGGGGCCAGGGCCGGGACCGGGAGCGGGGTCAGGGCCGGGACAGGTGGCGGGAGCGGGCCCTGCAGGCAGGGCCGGGGCTGGGACCAGGGCCGGGATCGGGACCAGGGCGAGGACCAGGAACCAGTGCCAGGTGCCAGGGACCGGGATCCGGGCGGGGCCTTCACATAGGAGGCCCCATGACCGACACCGGGGCCGCCGGAGACCAGGGCCAGGGTCGTGGCTGGGAGCGAGGCCGGATCCGCGGCCAGGGCTGGGACAGGGACCTGAGCCGGGCCGGTGCCGGGACCAGGGCCGGGAGCGGGGGTCGGGAGCGGGGGGAGCGGGGGCCGGGAGCCGGGATTGGGAGCGGGGTCGGGCCGGCAGTGGGTGCCGGGAGCCGGGACCGGAGCCCGGTCGGCTGGAGCCGGAGCCGGGATTGGCGCCGGGGCCGCCAGCACTGGGGCCTTAGCTGGGGCCGAGAGAAGAACGACAGTGAAACTACAGTTTGGCCGTCGCACAGTGCTACTGGTACCTCAAGGTGGAAAGTGATGGTTATCGGAGATCAGGAGAAAGAACACGTTGTCGGGTTCTGGCGGGGAGCCGCAACCGAGGTCCAGACCGCTTCCCGAAGGGGTGTTCTGTCGCCCTGGATCGGGTTCGGGGGCGAATCGCCCCCCTGCGCAAATCATCAAATCATCCTTGCGTTGTTGTGTTTGTTTTTCCTGTACCCC